GCTCGAACTCACAAAACCACGAGATTATGACCTGGGCCAGAAATCAAGAGTCGGACGCTTACCTGACTGAGCCACCCAGGCACCCCTGAGTCAAGTTTATTGAGATATAGTTTACATGTAGTAAGTTCACCCTTTTTACCGTATACTGTGCAGTGTCATTTTAATTTGCATGTATTTTATTATAAGCATGATGTGTTATTTTTATAATCACAAGAAGGGCGATTCTAAAACCCCAAAATGTACTGAGTAACACTTGTAAATAAGACTGGTCCATTTGCACATTCTTATTTCTTTCAACCTCAGCAAATTTCATCCTTTGGCAAACTCCGAGCACACAGAGCAATACAAAATGATTTTTTTTTTTAATGTGTTCATGCCAATTTTGGAGAAGCACAGTAAGACAAATTGACTGTCAAGATGGAAAAGCTTAACTGGGAAGATACATTTATTGAATAATTGAAAGGAAGAGGAAATGCATTACCGATTAGCCACAAAAATGCATGACGCCTAATCTGTGCCTCAAGAGACTCATGTAAATGGGGAGTCGTAAAACTGTCTCAGCCCCCGAGTTCTTACAGTTCTTACCAGCCTTCTAACCTGCCACCCTTGCTTCTGGGTTGCAGGAGTAGGGCATCGGCAGACTGATGATCGCTTCCAGGTTTAGCTGAAGTCCAAGTGTTCTAGCAACTCTTTGTAGCTTTCCTACCCCTTCGCACTGTCTCTCTGTACCAAATATTGTAATGGACTCTTGGATTTTACCATTACCTGCTTTGTTCAGGATTTTTGTTTCGGAGGGGGCAGCAATGTGTAAATCAGAGAAAAAGCAATTAATGGTGGCAAGAGTTAGGACTAGAACAAAAGCCCTCTGATTCATTAAACAGCCAGGTGACCTCCATCAAGTGCGTTCCCCAACTTCTCGGGGCTCATTCGCCGTCTAATCGGAGAGGATTGGATAATGAGATCCTTGCTACTCACAGAAAGAGCCAAGGCTCAGTAGTATCACCTGGGAAATAGAAAGGGAGACTCTGGAGCCCCATCCCAGAATTCCTGAGTCCAAATTGGCATTTTAAGCAGGTGTGCAGGTCATTTGTATGCACCTTCAAGTGCATGGTTTTCCCAGATTCTGGTCTCACACCGAAATTCTGGGCTTCTGGGTTCCCGGAGTCATTCATCATAGCCCCATAGGAATTTGCAGGGCTCACTAGGGAGATTTTGGCATTCCTGTGCACCCCCCTCTGGTTGTCCGGGATGGCGATCCAGTCTGCTCCCCGCCCCCCTAACTCTAGCTGTGTCTGGGTTGGTACTAACCGACGGTGACAAGGGGGCAACAGAGGAGACACGAAAGCCAACCCCCTTTGTCTTTACAGAGCCTTGGGAAGCAAGCCCAAGGCTGCGCCACGCCCCCTGCCAACTTGGCTGTGTTGTCCTCATTCTAGAGGCTCATTAAATAAAGAACGAGGAGATAAATATAGTCAAGCTACATAGACGAAGCACTTATCTCTGTGTTTCTAATGTGCTTCCTTACCGGCATAAGGAAAATCGAAACGATGTTCTCTGGGTGGTGTCCCTTGGAAAAATGGCACTTTCTTTTAAGTCAGAGAGAAACTTCGTTTGGACACTGATTTGGGGCGGGGGAACATGAATTTGAATTTAAATTTAATGAGAAGGAAAATATTTATGGATTTCTCCTTCACCTTCCCAGCCTGGAGAGAACAAAGCACTTCAAAAGGAGAGAAATGTGTTCCTGCCGTTATAGCAAGCATAATGATCCTAATTAGCCGTCGGAGTGTCAGAGTGGGAAGAACCCTTGCTTATGCATCCAGAACTTCTCACTGAGGAAAATCTCTTAGACCGCGTCCTGTTAGGATGTCTGGGGTGGTAGTGCTTGTGCCGTGGACCTAACTAACCAGCTTGCGTTGTAGGAAGCCGGTGTATTTCAGTGAGCTCGTGTAATTTCTTGCTGTGGAAATGATAGAAAAAACATTGAAAGCAAAGCCCAACCAGAGCCCCTGGGTGTGAATGTCTGGAGATAAAGGATCTTCTCTCCTTATTTAGGAGTTCGGGCTGAACGGGGCCTGTCCACATCAAGAATCTTGATGGGGCGCCTGGGTGGCTCAGTCGGTCGGGCGTCCGACTTCAGCTCAGGTCATGATCTCACGGTTCGTGATTTTGAGCCCCGCGTCAGGCTGTGTGCTGACAGCTCAGAAGCTCTGGAGCCTGCTTCCTCTGTGTCTCCCTCTCTCTGCCCTCCCCTGCCTTTTGCCTGTCTCTCTGTCTCAGAAATAAATAAAAACACTTAAAAAATTAAAAAAAAAAAAAAGAATCTTGATGTTCTGTCTCAGCCCTCAAGTTTGTGGAATTCATAAAATTTCAGCTTATCGTTAGCAAAAATCTTCCCAGAAAGGCTCTGAAGGACAGCACTGGATGGAAATATGTGTGAGTGGGATGCCAGGAGTCTAGAATTACTTTTCACCGAGGTCTTATTGGATGCTTTATCCTTTGGTGGCTGAAACGTGCCAAGAGGGGACTTTCTTTGCATGCTGCCCGTGCAGTTGTAAAGATAGCCAGGGTCACATTAGCCCCAAAATGTGCCTTGTTTATAAACCCAGTTTGCTTCTGCTTTTGAGCATGCTATAGGCTTGATCTCTTTTTTTTTTTTTTTTTTTTTTTTTTTTTTTTTTTTTTTACCAGAAGAACGTTTAAAATAATGGGTCACTTTGATGCAAATTCCAGGGGAGAAAGATGGCAAGTGTGTGTACCTAAGAGGACATCCACAGAAATTGATAGGACCATTGAGAATACCATGTACTTTCCACACTCGATCCAGTGAGATTGGAAGGGAAAGCTGGGGGCCCAAAGTAGTTTATTTTGGAAAGCCTGGAGCACATCCTCATTTCAGAGAGTATCGTAATCGGTTCTCTCCCTATTTCTGAGCTGTGTGATAATTAAAGGATGGCTTTTTTAGCACAAAGTAGTGAGAAGCGTCATTCCCTGCCCCCCCTCCCCGATGTATACAAAAGCATAACTCATCAATAGGGACATTTCTTTCTATTTAATGTATTTGTCTTTTATTCTTCTGTTAGAGGATTTTATGGAGTTTGGCTTATGCGGTGATCAAATAAACACTCTGTGAGATGTGGCATAGATGTTTGGGGCTTTGGAGAGGAGCAGATCTTTTAAATTCATAACAGGAATTTTGCCTCCTCATTCAGCACTGCACCCTTCCGCTGGCCGGGGGCGTGGGGGACCCTTTAAAAGGTCTGGCTTTGTATAGCTGACTGTAAATTGACTTGAATTCATGTTTGCAACTTGGATCTCAGACGTTGCTAGGATCACTTGGCGAGCACGAGGAGGCCCGCCGTTTGACCACAGTTTAGCACTTGCCAAACAAAAAATTATTTCTGTAAATGTCAAGTGTGTCTCATCAGTCAGAATGGGAAGGGGGAAGACGCAAGGCCAAGAAGGAACATCTGTGGGTGGTTCAATAACATTTGCTTCACTTGCTGTTTGAAAACACCGCTCTTTTGTATATTCAAGAACTGTATGGGTTTTAAAAGGGAGAGATCAACTTGCCGGCTATTGTTTCTTAATTTTACTGCATGAAAGGTTTTGTCAAGACTAAGGAAGACATCCACTTTCAGACCCTGGTGGCCTAGGCTGCTTTCTGGAATGCAGCCTCCTCCGGCCGGCCCGTCTTTCCCTGTTCACAGTGTGCTCGTGTCCCGCACGTGGTAACATGAGGACAGGAAGCCAGGAGGCGGCCCTGGGCCACCCCGCGTCATTGAGACCGTGCGACCCGGAATCCGGGCTTGGACTTGGCTTTCAGCTCCTCGTTTCACACTCACGTGTCATTACCTGTGGTTTTGTCTTTGCTCTCCCCCCACCCCGCACAGATCCGGAGTTAGGTGTCGGCACACTGCCCGAACATGACAGCCAGGATGCAGGGCCGATTGTCCCCAAGATATCCGGTCTAGAGAGAAGCCAGGAGAAGAGCCAGGACTGTTGCAAAGAGCCCATCTTTGAGCCCGTGGTGCTTAAAGACCCCTGCCCTCAGGTCCCCCAGCCGCTGCCCCAGCCCCAGGCGGAACCCCAGCCCCGAGCTCCTTCTCCAGACCCCGACCTGGTGCGGCGCACAGAGGCCCCGCCTCAGCCCCCACGTCCAAGCACACAGCCACCACAGGCGCCCCCAGAGGCCCAGCTTCAGCCCGCCCCTCAGCCTCCGGTGCAGAGGCCGCCGAGGCCGCAGTCCCCCACCCAGCTGCTCCACCAGAGTCTCCCGCCTGTGCAGGCCCATCCCTCATCCCAGAGCCTCACCCAGCCATTGTCCGCCTACAACAGCAGTAGCTTAAGCCTCAACAGCTTAAGGTGAGCAACCTACTTTTTTGTTGTTGTTTTTTTTTTTTTTTGGGCTTGGATCTTTGCCAGACTGACCGCAGGCAGGAGTGGGGAAGGGGTTCCCAAGGACAGTGCAAACACTGACACTGTGTTCCCCGGGAGGCAGAGACCAGGGGACAAGGAGAGGGCCCCGCGAGGCTTGGGGCTCTTGGGAGAGGGCAGGTTGGCCTGGGTTGGGGAGACAGGACTGGGGAAGAACGAACCAGAGACTCCAAAGGGGCAAGGGGAGGAGTGTGGCAAGACACAGTGTAGAGGGGAGCTCCCCACCCTGTCCCGGAGAGAGGCCACGAGGGGAAACCTACCAGCACCCAGTGCTAGAGATTTAAAAAAAATTTTTTTTAACATTTACTATTTTTTGTGTGAGAGAGGAGACACAGAATCAAGCATAATTTGTGAGATTCTGAGCTGTCACAGAGGCTCGGACGTAGCTCAAAACTCATGTTATGAGGATCAGTGACTTGAGCCGAGCCAGGAGGCTAACCCAAATGAGCCACCCAGGCGCCCCCAAAGTGTTAGGAGATTGTTAGGAAGGGGAGGATTCCCATGAGAGGATGTGCTGCAACCCAGAGAGAGTCAGGTGGGGAATCCAGGGGACTCAAGCTGAGGCTTTCCTACATGATGTACTTCTTCCAAGGTGGGCTGAGGGGGCGGTGAGTTTTTGGGGCTGGACTGGAGAGAGAGAAGCTCCCGTGTGTGGTGATCCAGGCCTCTGCCTTGTCTTTGCCAAAACCAGCGAAGAAAGTTTTCAGAGCAGCTCAGTGAAACCGCCGAGAAAGGGAGATTAACCCGGGTGGGGTAAATATGTGGCCCACCCGCTTGCCCCGGGAGGCTGTAATTTCTAACCCTAGTAGTTTTTGCTTTCCTTGTGACGTGACCGACGGGGGGGTTCTGGGAAGAGCCTCTGCCCAGGACAGGGAAGGAAACCGCCTCCTGCCAGGGTTCACTGTGCCCTCCCCAGACCAGAGAGGTGATGAGGGCCCCGGTTCACCTTCCCATCTGTGCTTCTTCATCAAGGGGCAGCAGTCAGACAGGGTGAGCTCAGGCCTGCTGTTCCCCACTCCATCTTGCAGCGGAGGAAATGTGGCCAGTGGAGGATGAAGGCGCAGGGCTCTAGGGGCAGAGGTGAGAATGGCCACAGAGCGGGAGCAAACGAGAGTTTCCGGACATCGGGTCACCAAGTGTTCACCACTGAGAGAGAGAGAGAGAGGGAGAGCATAAGCAGGGGAAAGAGATGAGGAGAGAGATCCCAGCAGGCTCTGCCCTCAGTGTGTGTAGAAGCCCACGCGGGGCTCGATCCACAAAACCAGCCCATGACCTGAGCCTGTAAAACCAGAGTCAATGCTCGAACACCCACTGAGCCACCCAGGCGCTCTCCTCTGTGGTTACAGAGGCTTCTTTGTGGGCAGCTGAGGGAGGGTCTAAAGAAGAAGGAACAGGAGAAAGCATTGCACGGCTTTGGGCAGTGAAATAGGATTTTTTTTTTTTTAAGAAAATAAATTGCTTACCTCTTTTTTCCTTCCTTCTGGTCACCTAACAGTATAGTAGCAGAAGCAGCAGCAAAGATCATGCCCGCCTCACTTCTCACATCTCTCTCACCACCTTCGGCCTCCCCTGCTCCTCTGTCAACACTGTTCTTAACCACAGCCCCTTGCACAGCTTCACACCCACCCTCCAGCCCCCTGCACACTCACATCACCCCAATATGTTCGCCCCTCCCACGGCTCTGCCTCCGCCACCACCTCTGACTTCAGGGAGTCTGCAGGTCCCCGGACACCCGGCCGGAAGCACTTACTCAGGTAGGAGGGGGGGCTGACCTCGCCCACCTGCCCTCCCGTCTCCCACGCTTGGGGCCTCACCACTGCCTGTGTGTCCTTCATGGCTAGGTTTTATCGACTGACCAGTTGCTGCTTTGTTATAGAGACTCTTGTAACCCGCCTCTGGTCCTTCATGGGCTGAGGTTTGGCAGAAATACACTCCGCCCCCTACCCACCTAGCACAGCCCAGGAGGCTCGGACACAGCCAAAGGGAAGCCCGCTGGTTGGAAGTCCAGAGGCTTTTCCAAATAAGGCCACGCACTACGTGGTAAAACACAGATTACATACGCCCGGTCATCCCATTCGAGGGACGGAAACTTCACCAGGCCCGCGACTGTTCTGTTCCAGTCTCTTTAAATTCCATCCTGGTTTAAGGGGGTTGTTTTCAAGGAGTGGGGCCTTCTACGTTCTTGGGAGGGGAAGATGCGCTTTTCGCTCCAAGGTATCCCAGAGTTTTAAGTCTTAGCAAAATCCAGCCTTAGGTATTGGCTTCTTCTCTCCTCACCTGTATTGACCAGGCTGGTATCCCAAGTTTGGGCCCCTGTAGCCGTGCTGTCCCACTGTGGTAGACATTCCCCCTTGAAGACGAGGGCATGGGAACACAGCCAGGTTAACAGAGATCAGTGTGCACTCAACGATGTTAATTCCTTGAACCATCAATATTGTCCCCCTGTGGTAGATGAGGGAGCTGAGACCCAGGTGGGTGATATCCCCACCCCCCGCCACGCCCAGGCTCCCTGAGCTGGCGGTCACAGAGCCGAAAACTGACCTCTGGCTGTTCGGCCTGGAGCCTTGTCCCCGAAAGCCTAGGGGCTGGAAGAACGCAATTCCATTGTGACTGGGCGTCAGGATCCTCCGGTTGGTTGTTCCCTTCCATCCGGGGGCACAGGGGCCCTCGGGGGTGCCCTCGGCCCCGCCGACCTCTCTGGTCAGGGCCTCGGGTGTCCTTATCCAAAGGATACCACTCGGGGCAGGGGGGGGAAGCATCACCCTCTCCCTTTCCTTCTTTTCCAGAGCAAGACATCTTGCGACAGGAACTGAACACACGCTTTCTGGCCTCTCAGAGTGCTGACCGCGGGGCTTCCCTGGGCCCTCCGCCCTACCTGCGGACCGAGTTCCACCAGCACCAGCACCAGCACCAGCACACGCACCAGCACACGCACCAGCACACCTTCACGCCGTTCCCCCACGCCATCCCCCCCACCGCCATCATGCCGACGCCAGCACCTCCCATGGTGCGTACCCCAGGCAGAAATGTGAGGATAAGTAGAGCACGACTCTCTTTTGTGCAGCACGCCGGGGCGGAATGGGCCGTCGGGGCACAGGAGACCGGGTGGGGAGTGCTGGCCACTTAGGGGCCTCCTTTGGCCTCCTCCGTCTTGGCTGGAGAGAAGGGAGTGCGCCCTGCTCCGGGCAGCGCTGACCCGGGGCCCGAGGCAGGAGCCTCTTTCTAGCAAGTTCTGTCCAGCACTGTGTGTGCGCATGGGCGGAGGGGAGGGTATTTTAGATGCCCTCCAAGCAGTCCCAGCCAGTGTCGGTAGTTAACTTCTTCAAGGGCAGTTGTGCCTTTTTGAGCATCTTGCGGGGGTCGCCACCAGGTGTAAAAATGTATCTGTCGGTGCTTCGCACTGAGTAATAATAGCAAACAGATGCTCATAGAATACTGGGAGTCAGGAGGAAGGCGGAGGAGGGGAGAGAGCCGTCAGAAGATCTGGACTGTATCTGTTACCCCTGCTCTTTCAGGGGGCTCCCCAAGCCTGTTTTGTTGGGGGCGGGGGTTATATTTTTTGTATTTCATGAGACGGTACCCAAGTCTGGCATCCTGCTCTGTCAGCAAGTGGCCAGGGAGCGATGCACCCACAGGGGCAGAAGTCGGCCCCGTGATGAGAGCTGCCATTGCCAAGGACATGATCTTGGTCTTGACCCGGGGCTGGCCCTTGCTGGATGAGCCACCTGGGATTTGTTTTTCTTTTTTAACTTACAAACTGTAACGAACAGTCCCATATTAGGGTGCTAAGTATTCTGAGATAGAGCCCTGTCTGCCACAGTGAGTATTAGAGTGTTTTACTGACTTAATTTTTCATATTTAAGGAAATACTTGGTTTGAAGGCAGTTAGTGTCGGCATGGCGAGAATAGATTTGAATTCCGTGATTTTTAAGAGATGCGCCCTTCACCAAACTTTGTGTCCTCTCCTCCCTCCCCCTCCCATTTTGTTCTACTTAACGTTTTTACAGATGGAATTTTATTTTTTTTTTTTAATTTTTTTTTCAACGTTTATTTATTTTTTGGGACAGAGAGAGACACAGCATGAACGGGGGAGGGGCAGAGAGAGAGGGAGACACAGAATCGGAAACAGGCTCCAGGCTCCGAGCCATCAGCCCAGAGCCTGACGCGGGGCTCGAACTCACGGACCGCAAGATCGTGACCTGGCTGAAGTCGGACGCTTAACCGACTGCGCCACCCAGGCGCCCCTACAGATGGAATTTTAAAGTTTATCTTGTAAATTTTATTTAGGAGAACATTAGCGATGAGACCTTGGGACCAAAATGTTTTCCTATAGTAAATCCTGTATGTTTTTTTTTCTGGATGAATTGTTGTCCTTCTCAACAGTTACGTTTTTTAAGGGCTTAATATTTGGGGAAAGAGTTTATGGCAGCCTGAGTGGGCTGTTAAATCAAATCTAAGGGGGGGTTGTAGCACCAGGACGTTGACGTTATTTAGAGGAAGCGGTGGGATACTCTTTTCTGCTCAAAAGAGAAGTTCCAAGACCTCTGCCAGATTCCTTTATATTTGGGTCTAATACGTTTCAGCAGGTGGCTGAACATACAGTTCTTCAGCCACAAGGAAGATGGAAATGGAGGGAACTCTCTGGATAAATCAGACCAAATGCTCGCTTCTCTTTGATGTGTCTGAATAATTGCCCCTTTTCTCCAGTTTCAAGGTCTGGTTTATGCCGGTCTCTAAATGTAGACCGAAATGACTCTCCGGTGTGGCCAGGACCGCAATGCACCGTCTGGGTTTTCACTTTGGTTTCCCCTGTCTTGTCGGAGGGACTCAGGAGTCGAGAACGGTTTCTCACGTACAACGAGGTCGTGGAGTCTGTTGACAGCCTAATTAACGGCGGAGAAGCTCGCTCAGGGCTGCCTCCGCCGAAGCCGTGAACAGAAATGTAGACTCTTTAAGTAACTAGCTTTTGCTTTGATCCCTTTACAGTTTGACAAATACCCTACAAAAGTTGACCCATTCTACCGGCACAGTGTGAGTCTTGTTACCATGCTACACATTCAATGTAACTGCTTTTCCATTTTTGTCCTCTTGCCACAGATCAGTAAATGACTAGCAGCCTTCCTTAATCATCTTTGCGAGAATTCCCATTGCGCCTCGTCACTTTGGATGCTTGCTTTTGTGACGTTTGCTTCTGGTAAAGATGCAGTATCCTCTTCCGAATCAAAAGATCATTAGCGCGCCTGACACCTTAAAGCACAGGTGAACCTCACTGCGAGCCAGGCGTCTGTCCTCAAAGTGGGGGGTCTGCACTTGAATCACTGTGGCCGCAGGAGACCCTGGAATCACAGGATTTCAGGAATTGCCCAAAACATCCTTACCACAGATTTCCCAGAATCCAACGTGAAGTATTTCTTCCGAACAGAATGTCGTTCGTCTTTTTTGACTCCTAAGTCCTCCAAAAGCAGATTCTCATTTCCTCCTGACTAAATGTAGACCCCTCTCCCACGTGGCTGGTCGTGTTCTCCTGGGCTTGTTACAACCAAAACCAAAAACTATCATTTCAGTAAAAGAGGGTCCTAAGATTGAAATACATGGTTTTTCCCCTTTAACCTCATTCTTCTTTATGTAACAAAAAAATTTTTTCTTTTATGCCACGTTAAAGAGCACGGTTCTAGAACTGAAATCGGCACCAGCCTATTTCGATACATTTCAGTTGAGACGTGAGACGAGGGCTTTACTTATTTATCTTCTAAGACAAGCACCTTGTACATCTTACCATGATATTTTGATTATGGAGTGAATACTGCATCCTTCTTACCTGAAATTTTGCAAGTTTCTTTGCTCAGTGGTTTATTCATATTTTTCAAGCGACACCAGAAAGAAAGAAGAGGAGTAATTTCTTGTAGCCACGTTGTCCATCCGTCCTCACCTATGCTTGCTTGGAAAGAAGTGCTCCTCAGTAGATCAGCAAAGCCTGTGAGCTCATTCCTACTCCGAACCAGATAATCAGACCCTGCCTTAGTCCAGAGTGTAGCCAGCCGAGAAGTCAAAACTACAAGATATTAGAAATCAATTAAGCATCAGTTACTCTAGAGACGTGCAGACATAACGTGAGGGACCCTCCTCAGGAAGAGATGCGGAAAGTATATCCGAGTGCCGGAGCCCCACGTTGTTCTGGCACTTTCTGCTCACAGCACTGTGATACAAAAGCATTTTTTTTTTTTAAACGGACGTGCAAAATGCAGCAGACGCCTGGGCTTCCTCTTTAGCGCTGTCCCGCGAGTGGTGCCGTCCTTAAGGGTCATCAGATTTCTGCCCTTTGTGTTTGTGGATTTCAGCGAAGGACTAGCTAAGGAAGTCATTCCTAGAGACAGTTTAGCGTGCTCAGCCAGTGGCTCAGATTTCCTTCTGAGTAAATCTGGACCAAGTGTAGAGCCTTCCTACATGCGTGTGCCACCGGCGGTCCTAGAAGTACGATAGAGAGTAAGCCCGGGGGCCTGAATTTCCGGCAGGTTTATGTTTTATTACTTAGGTACTTCAGATTTTTCATCCGGTGGGGGGTGGGGAGTCCAGAATAGGGGACCGTATTCTAAGAGGGTCAGTCATGGACTATAACAGCAGAAGGACAGTGATGAAAATATCTAATTTTTGTATTGAAAACGTTAAAGGAAATATACCCACCGAGAGGCGGAGTATTAGAGACTTGAGTGTGTTTTAGTGTGGCATGTATTTAATTACACCGCTTCATACAGTATACTGGGGGAGGGTTATTTCATTTTATTAGTTATAGTGGATAATGTATGAAGTACTTAGTCTCCCCTGCTTTGGGGATTAGGACGTTATAAGGGGAATTAAGACGGAATGCGCTCAAGTATCTAAAACACAATTTTAGACTTAAAAGTAGTTTTAAATGAGGGCACTTGGCTTGCAATCACTGTTTAAGTGGATTTAGTTCAATATCAATTAGTCTGAAAAACTTTGCTGCATCATTGAAGGGAGCAAAATGAAATAAAGACCCACAGAAAAGCATGTGCCCTGAAAACAGGATTGCAAGTTAGGAAAAGCTTGAGTTCTTAGTATTGTGTTTTTGACATTTTACGCAACCCGAAAGGTGGGCCATGACTTAAATGTCTGTATGGTGGTTTGATCAAAGTAAATGGAATCGGAGCAGTGGGATCTCGGAAATACTCCATTTCTAGAAGGAGGAAACGATGTCTGTGCCTTGTGTTCAGTATTGCTGCATATTTCTTTCCTCCATCGTGTCCTCTTAATTCCAGAAAATTCATATTCTTAATTCAGAATCATTCTTCTCCCTGCACTGAGTGGTCGGACACAGCAAGGGCTGGGTTTGGGTAGCCCCCAGTGAGCCTGTCCACCTTCTAGAAAACAGTAGCTCCGTTGTAAGTGCACACTGAATCGTTTCGTTTTACCCTCCCACAAATATTTGTCATGATTTGAGATGAGACAATTAAATTGTCCTCTGAAACTGCCACTTCTGGAACAACGTAATGAAGCAAGGATTGTGCATATTTTCTCATTTCCTCAAACTATTAAAAATCTAAAATTACTAATTGAGTTTTAATGGTATAAAATCCTGGAACTCATAAAGAGTTGCTTCTTTTTCTTCCTTTTTCCCTAATTTTTCTTTTTTTTTCTTTTTTTTTTTTTCCTTTTTCTAATTAACTTGTAATTTTCCGGGCATCTTATTTGGCTCAGCACCCCTCCTGTTTTTGATGCACATTAAAATCTCAAACCATTTAGGTCTTCTATCCGATTTAACAATTAATAATTAGAAAAGCTCCCTTTCTAATGATGTCCTCATCTGGGACATCATTTGTTGGCTGATTGATTCTGAACTACTTTTAACTTTTTAAGTTAAGCATTCATGGCACATCTGTGTGATCATCTCATCCTGGCTTCTTGACTAATAGCATCAAACTGAGATTATCTGGCTTGCTAATGTTGATGTCGTTCTATGGGAAGGGAATTGGAATATATCATTTGCTTCCTACTAAAATCTTTTTTTCCCCTCTCCGTCTTTGGCCACAGCTCTTCCATTCCTACCCTCCTGCAGTATCGGGCATCCCCCCTATGATTCCACCCACTGGTCCTTTTGGTTCACTACAAGGAGCATTTCAGCCGAAGGTAAGAAACCTTACCGTGGAAATAGGCAAGCATCCTTACCAGCCGAGCCCCAGGCTAGGCGTGCGGGTGGGTTCTGCATCCTGTCGCCCGCCAGTGACTAATCTTCCCAATCCGAAGTGACCACTGGGATTAGAGCGACGTTTTGGTTTTGTTGGGTTTTTTGGGTTTTTTGGGTTTTTTTTTTTGTGAGCCCTCTCTCTGAGTTTTAAACCTCAGCCCGAATTGCATTTTCAGTCTGTATTATCCATATAATCTCAGCTGAGCCGCGATTTCCTACAATCTTGAAAATATACAGAATACGTATATATATTTTTTATTGCCAGTATTGTGGACATAAGCTTCTGGTCAGGAAATGTATGAAATGTCAGATATGTGTGTGCACCAAGTTGTCCTTGAGTTACATGTTACGAGCAAAGAGGCAAAGCTGAGCCTTGACTGATTGTAAGAGACAGGAAGAGAACAATTCCACACTAAAATTGCATCCTTCCAGTTGTGTGAGGGGAAGACACTTCTGCTCCCTCTTCCCCATTTTGCTCCTGAGCCCTGTCTGTCTGCAAATTCTGGCTCTACTCTGCTTCAGTCCTCCCTCAGCCGTGGTCATGCTTACCAAGGTCAAGACCAACAGCCTCATGGGAAATTAACCTTTGGCCCTTTAAATAACTAAATTCGTTTCTACCTAGTCAGTGTTATCCTACTCATCTGGGGCTAGGCTTCTCTCTGAAGGTCAATAGGGAGGAGTCATTCTCAGGACACTCTGCCCTTATGCGACTTTATCACAGCCCCTTCTTTATTTTTATACCAAAGCGAAATGCAGTTATGTTAGTAACCGTCCTCAGACTTTTTAAGTAGGAAAGTTTGCTGTGTGTGGTTTTTGGTTTTCCTTTTTATTTGTTTATTTTTCCCGATCTCGTTTCTAAGAGAAAACACCAGATTGGGGCCAGGGTCTTCCAGCATGAGCGCATTTTGCCTTTCTAGAGGCACGTTGTCATGAAACTAGAAACAGGAAAAGACATTTAAAAGCATTGGGGGTAGGACAAGGTACACCTCAGAAGTGACATTTATCTGCTTGGAATTGTGGCTTATAGGCCGGGTTATCCATACCTGGGACTTGCGTGATGGCCCTGTGAAACCCTCCTGTCTTGGGATGAAATGACAATGATTTTTCAACCCCTTCCCCCGTCTGCCATTCCCTGCACCCTCACACCCTGGGCCCTGGTCTGTCCCCTCTGGGCTTCACCAACTCTCCAGTGCCTCTCCAAACAGACTGCTAGGTCATTTAATAAATTAGACTATTTCCCTCACTCACAATTATCCAATCACACAGAAAACTACATCTGGGCAAGAAAGTGTCTCTCTTGGTGTTGAAATAGGCCTTTCCAGGCCATCTTACTGATTGAATATGTAGATTGCAGTTCATTAGCGGAGTTCTTCATATGTATGCAAATCAGGCTGTTAACAACTCCAGCTTAATTGTTAGTTGTACAGCAGCTGACTGCTTTTCTTTCTTTCATGCTTCCCCCTCCCCTCCCTTCTCCTTATAGACAAGCTTTGTGCCTAAGCTTGAGCTCTTTTCCCACCCGCGTTAACTTCTGGCGTGAGGGGAGTCCTCGAAGTTGTGCTTTCTGCAATAAGATACCTGGTGAAACATGTCCTGACTCCTCCATCCCCCCAGATAGTAGGGACTGCGAGCGCCAGAAGTAGGCTTTTTTGTCGTTGCTGTAAATTCAAAGGACACAAGCCTGTGGATAAGGTTATTGTTACGAATGACATCCAAGAATGGTGGTGGTTTCGGAAAGATGAAGCCGAATTACCGTAGGAATCAGTGAATAGGAGATCTGTGCAGTCCCTGAATCAGGCCCGCTTGTTGCATCTCCACCCCCGCTAATGAGTAATGACTGAGCGTAATTCCTTGTTATCGTCTGCCGGTTAAAATTTAGAGTTAGCTTAATGTCTGTGAAACACTTGCAGTTATCCGATGAGGGGCACCTGGTACAGCAAATGGCCGCGACGTTCACGCAAGCAGTTCTTAGAGTGCTTGGTGGTAACGCAAAAGACACAGTGACAGGGCCGTCCGTGTGTCGGAAGAAGATGGAGTTGGGGGCATTGCTTTCACATGTTTCTTCTCTTTGGTCCTGTGCTGCTTATTGCGGTGAGAAGTGACGTGGTCCACGTCTCCGCTTTTGGATGCCTTCCCTAGACAGGGCAAAGTCGGGTCAGGGTCCCCGGAGAAACTAGGGAGCGGGTCCTCTTGAAGAACATGTGTGATCAACTGGGGGAGATGCCTCTGTGAACTCTCGTCTTCCAGAATGAAACAAACAAACGAAATCGACGTTTGACTTGCATTATTTTAGAAGGAAAAGAAAGATCTTGCTTTTCAGGTCATGTGTTCTATGCCTCCTAAGCTGTGGTCTGATTAATTTGTAGACCTCCAACCCTATCGATGTTGCTGCTCGACCCGGGACCGTCCCGCACACTCTGCTCCAGAAGGACCCGAGGGTACGTAGAAGAAAGTCAGGCTCGGTCACAGGTAACGCCAGGGTCTGTTTGTTTCTGCGGGCCAGCCGGCCCAGGTCACGCACCTTCCTCAGCCCATCTGAGCGAGCTGCCGTGGGAGCTGTTCCTTCTAGTTTGTGCAAGAAAATGCCAGTCACTCTTAGAGAACAAAATCTCCCCTGCTCCCTTGTGGCTGATGACACAAGGGGAGCAGCTCGCCAGCAGGGGAGAAGACAAATGGCTTGTGGTCCAAGCCCAGGAAGTGGGCACTATCAGCTTGTGTAGTTTCTGTTTGACCAATCTTCTCTGTCTACGTCCCCTTACATATTCTCACCGAAGAAGTAACTGTAAAATGTTTTGAATGGAAAAGCATGAAGCACTTTTCTTCCTGGACGTCACAGGACCCTCTCCCCGCACCGCCCCCAACCCCAACAGCACTCCTGGCTCACTTGTAATGCAGAATCCTCCTCTGACCTGAGTCAAATGTCCCTCGCGCTTTGGTTATGTCACTCGTTCATAACGCGCACCTCCACCGCCTCTCAAAAACAATTGGAAGATCTACAAAAGATGCAGTCTTGTCTCGTGGGTTGTTACTTACGTTTGGCTTTAGAGTAAATGTGGACAGACGGTGACTTTTTACAACATCGTCTTCTTCCCTGGCTAAGGGCCAGTCAGAAACTGATGACCAGAGTTAGGTAGAAGTTAAAAATGAACTAGCTACGTAAGTATTTTTACGATGTTTAGTGAACCTTTCAAAAGTGTGTAATACCTCTAAGTAGTGTGCGGTCATCACATGGAGTGCGTTGGTTCCACCTTACGTCTGGAGAGGCCAGCTCTCCCAGAAACCCCTGGGTACCCAGGCTTCTAGGTCTACGGTCCGGAGGCCGTCCTCCCTTAGAACCCAGGCGGTGTGGTTAGAAGGGCTGTTCAGATGTATAATGTGAGCAAATCATGTTGCCGGAGGGCAAATTGCTATTGATTAAACTTGGTCGGGGGGCTTGTCAGCGTGGACGTGCCCAGGCTTGTGAAGTGGGGGAAGGGACGCTTGGCACTTTTGATCGTGTGAAAATGGGTTAATTATTCTCTAAAAGGGCTTCATTTAAAAGTAAAATTCTAACATTTTAATTTCCCCTCCTAATGAAGCACTACAAATTTGTTAATTAGAGCAATTGTTTGAGTGACAGGCATGTAACCGAGTTGTCATTTTCTCTTCACAGTTGACAGATCCTTTCAGACCTATGTTAAGGGTAAGAGAGCTTCTTCTAGAACTGTTTTGCAACCTCTGTTTGACTCCCTGCGGGTTAAAAATACAAATCCATTACAGGGAAACAAGCCATAGAAACGCTGGAATAAAATGTTGGGAGGAGAGTGGCTGGGCTTTTCAGGTAGTGTAATTGGAAATGGCCCACATTGTGTTGCTTTGAGTGTTGGAGGAAGCCAGGCCATTGAGGGAAAGCAAACAGCACATTCAACTGAGGCACCGTATCTTGTTGGTATGGCTGCTGAAAGCTTGACTACTGGGAACGTACGTGGGAAGTCTTCAGCTAAAGGCAGAAATTAGGATTTCACTGAGCTCTGTTGTCTCTCCTGCACCTAGAAGAGATAGATAGATAGATAGATAGATAGATAGATAGATAGATAGATCGATCCATCTATTTATCTGGGCTGGTGGCTGCCTCATTCTGTGGTACGTGATGTTGACCCTCAGAGCCATTCAACCTATTTCTCTGGTGCAGAAGAGGGACATACTAAGCATTGGTTTTGTTAATGTCTTGGTTGGTCTGGAGAGTGGCCAAGAGATGACCTCTGAATAAACGCTGACTTACTGGGGAGGGGGATGGTCGGACGGAAGATGGATGGATGGATAGATTTCCAGCTACACTTAACTCATTTCTGGCGCCTCTCATCAGAGAATTCAATTTCTCCAAAGCGAAACAAAGGAGAACTGTGTCATCACGTAGGTGATTTCAGATGACCCATGATTTCATGACACGGGAACTGACCCCAGACTTGGATTTAAGGATATCTTTCAGAAACAGCTCCTTAATATAGAAACCAGAAGCGTCTGTCCTTTGCCGATGTAGGAATGGGGCAGCGCTTCCTCTCATCTGGCCTGTAGTTACTGAGCGCGTGTCGGGAGCTTATGAGTAGGTTACGCAACAAGACTACAAACCGATTGGCAGGAGGTGGTCCCTGCCCTCCAGGGTGGTAAGACAGCTCACTCAGTTACTCCTCTGCTTGGAAAGCAAGACATGAACTGATCTGAGAGACATGGCTTGATACACTCCCAGACGTGACGGCAGCAGAGGCCTAGAGCACAGGAAGGAACCAGCTCTCTTTGTTTCTTCTCTTTTCACTTGGGAACAGGCGGCACCCAAGAACACCAATGGGTAGTTGACTCTTAGCGAAGCGTTTGTGGGAACAGGGCTTCAATGGAAATGTGAATTTCTTTGTTCCGCTCTGGGGGTTAACACAAAACCGCGTTGGGGGAGGCCACGCGGGTTCTTCTGTACCCTCTCTTGTTTTGAACCGATTCACAGACGCTCCCTAATTAGCTCTTCTGAACAGCCGATTTGCCTGGTAGCATGGCCGCATTTGTTAGGTACAGCTTCCCCCTCTCCCGCTCTGCCAGCTGGCACCAGAAAAGAAAGAAGAGACACAGAGTGGGGCTCGGGCTTTTGCCATCTTGTGCTCGGTAACCGGGGAGGTCCCCGTCAAGTGTGGCTTTCTGAGCAGTGGCTTCCAGCTCGGGCCCCAAGGGAAGGAGGGGCAGAGCTGACCGGGGTTCCCTGAGGCCTGGGCCCCGGGCAGCCGCTAAGAGAGGGCACTTGGAGGGGGGACTGAGCACAACCGGGCCGTGAAAAAGAGCGTCTGCAGCCAAAATCTGCTGAAAAGCTCTGAAGGAATTGGGAGATGCTGTTCTCTGGAAGGTCTTCTTGTGACCACATTGCTCTTTGTTGTTCCAGAAACCAGGGAAGTGGTGTGCTATGCATGTTCACATCGCCTGGCAAATCTACCACCACCAACAGAAAGTCAAGGTCAGTCTTGCCTTCCTGGTCTGGCGG